AATTTTTAAAATGTTTTCGAAATAATGAAGTGTCCGTTCTATTGTAATAATTGTAATGTAATTTATTTAAAAAAAAAACTAATAATTATTGTAAAGGTTTCATGATTGTTGATTCATAGGCTATTTTTGACATTGTTCTTAATTTAGCATATAATGGCGGAATCGGTAAAGGACGCCCTAGACGGTTTTTTATTTACCTAATTGGCAATATATTGAAGATGGGTCAAATTAAGATGATTCTTAACCGGCGAGCCGTATGTATCTGCATGTAATGGAGGTCAGGGAGGTGTATTAAAATCGTGCTAAACTAAAGTTAGTAGCATATGTATATTATACGTGAGATTATATGTATTTTATGTATATATTTATGTCTTTTAAGAAAATAATTATGTTTTAGAAGATTTGGAACGGTAGAGATAGTCAGTATAAATTAAAAATATATAAATAAAAGAACTGTAAGAAAAGTATTGGCGGTGTAAGAATATCTACTACCCCATATCATCCCAAAGGTCCTAACAGACAACAGAGAGATACTGAATCAGAAGGTGGGCGGCAGCATCTTTCCGTTCTCTAAATTTTATTTGTGGTTAAACCGTTAAAAAAGTAAGAGTGTTTTGAGATGTTAGTTTGCATCCTCAAACTATTTCGGTGTTATCATGACCATTTTTTTCACATTTTTAACGTTCGTTGATTCTTCTACTTTAAAAGAATCCGAAGTTTGGTTTATCTATTTCTTATCTAATCAACATAAAGTTTAACTAATATCCCAGAAAGAATCATCAATCTCAAAAATTTTTTCTTAAAAAACAAATAGCCAAGATGTTGTACGAGGTGACGATATGCAGTAAGATGGTTCTGAATACATAAAAGCCAGATCGTAAATTTGAGTTCAGATTTGAGAATCAGGGTTTAGAGAATAAAAATTTTGTTACAATGTTAGAGATTATTGTAATTTAAGAAATGCCAAATAATATGTTCCTGCCAAAAACTGAACGCCGTAAAATAACTTCAACTATAAGATATTAATTGAAGGAATCGCTGACACTCTTAAGTAACAGACTGATGGAAGAACATTAATATCCTTTTCCAATCTTCACTTCAGTTCACGACAGTAACAAAACGCTTTCATCAGATTTTCTAACGAAGATTGATACGCAAAGAATAAATATTACCTTATAACTCAGATATATCATATTACACATACATTACCTTTGCAGGCTATTTAAATTCTGTTGCTGAATATAGACCTTGCTTTGTATAATACCTCCTTATAACCACCATATTTGACATAGTCTCTATGCTTGGCACGCGGGTTGGCAACCGCAATTTTTTCAATTTATTATTTAATTATTTGCACAGCATGTGCGCTGGTAAAATAAATTTTGTATATTTTTTACTATGTTTTTGTGTAGAAGATTGCCCATCGAACGGTTCGTTTTCCTTCTGTCGCCTCTTAAGACATCCACGAGATGATATGGGTGAAGTGGATGCCAGTATATGTTGAAAATGAAGGTTTGTATAAATATATTATATATAAGTTATCATCATCAGAAACACGGAGGATACTACCACATACTCGTACGCTGTCGAAACCATAGAGTAGAAAAGTGTTGGCGCTTGGAAATATCTGTTTTACGTTGGTATTATATATATATATATCGCATGTAAGCTTAAACTTTTTAATATTTGCGCATATAAAAGTTACAGCTGCAATACACGGAAATTCCCAATCATCAATCAGACTACTGAAATATTGAGAGTTCGTAAAAAAAGGATTAATTAAATATGGAATACAGTAGCACACGTTTTGAAATTCACGTATGTCCCTCTTCCGCTTCATTTTAATTAAATAAATCAATCAAGCACCCCTTTCGAGCATCTATCACATTATGATGATGACACTTTTATTTTTGCATACAACATTGCTATATCCGTCACGAACATAATAGTACCTCAATTTGTCGTCCCTAATTTGATATTGCGTTGTCGAATAAATGTTTAAAGGTTTTTTGCAATGAATAAGAATTCATATAAAACACTCCCTTTATTATGATGCAGCATATATTGATACTCGCCATCAGTAACAATTTTTAAAACACGCCTAGATGCCCCGTTTTCAAAACGTAGACGCATTTCATGGCACCAATCCACACGAGTCTGTTGTTCGCTTTCGGAGAGCAAACGCGGGATCCATCAACAACAAAGCTTCCTCACTCCGAGATGTTGATGTTGGAATATATGAATGCTCTTCGAACCAATGCCTACAATCTTTTCGATGTCCGTATATGTGACTCGTGGGTCTTCTCGCACTAACATTTTTGTAGTTCATACATTTTCGTATCATTTCGTATGCGGGGCCCCGGTTCTTTGGTCATCTTTAAGGTTAATTTTACCTCTTTTGAATTCAGCAAACCACCAAAAATTATTGCGCGTGATGGATCTGAGCCCATAATGCTAATTGTAACCGTTGTTTACTTACTTAATTGTTCGGTTAAACCCAATTTAAAATCGTAACAGATCATAGGACGCAAAGGTTCACGGTTATGATCCATCGTTTTAAATGAAAAGCGCGGGAAATGTTGCAGGAAAATTAATAGAACTTTGTTTTTTTTTTGTTTAATATAGAAAAATTGGCCTATGGAGTTCTATTTTTAAATAAATTTGCTTTTTAGAAACAAATAACATGAGTGCGTTGCACTTTTAAATTTCGAGCATCTCAAAGCTTATTGAGTGACCTACGTATAAGCTGCTTTTTTACGCTACTGTAACCATATTGTATCTACAGCGTGGTTCTTTCACTTTATAAATAAGAGGAATAAGCCTAATATCTGAATATATCTTAGCTATAGTTCGATACGTTATACGAGTTACATATGCCTGGGATCCTACATGGCACGACATAAAATCTCAGGGTCTAATTGTTAAGATAGCCCAGTAGTAGTTAAGTTCGTTTGTACGTTAGGTACTAGTAGTCTAGTATTCCTGGGTACTCACGTTGTCACAATAGTTAAGTTAAATTATAAGTCTGAAAAAAAGTCATATAGAAAAAAGTCTTCGTCTTCTTACACTTCAACTCTCCGTAAGCTGCCGCAAACGTAAGGGAAGCAGTCGGTACTCGGCAGGTTATTGTACGGACCAGTGTCGGAATGTTGTACCAAGGTGGAATACTCGAAAATTAAAGCTGTCCGAATACTCAATCGTAAAGCTATAAAAAGAATTTTCCAGACCAACGGGACAAGAATGGCTTAATGTTAAAGTTACGGCCTATATACGTCCCACTCCTGGAGATAGGCCTCCACTAATTTCTGAGAGGGTTTTAGGGCAAGAGATTGGCCGCCGCGCTGTTTAAATGCGTGTTGGCGAGCTACATATGTCCACAAAAAAGTTTGTTTCTTATTTTAAAGACATGCAGGTTTATTCACAATGTTTTCCTTTATCGCCGAGCACGTGGTAAATTAGCACTTGAAATTGTAATCAACAATTTTGCCGGCGGGGATCAAACCCGTGGTTATACAAATCACGGAGACAGCCTTATATCACGGTATTTCTTTAACCAAACAGGGTATAAGGACATCCCAGGAGTTTTGTGACCATTGCCAAACATTATTTAGTACAATTATGACTTACGTGACGTTACACGACAGTACACAAACTACCGTGCAGGCGAAACGCGACTTCATTAAAAAATCGCGCTACAGGGCTTTGCACGAGGTTAAGCAGACCCAATAGGATCCCGCATATGATATATGAGGTGTTAGAAGACGTGAAGAAGGAGTTAAACGCAATTTATTGACAGCAAATCGAGACCTCAAGGAATTATCAAATTCATATAACTGCAGCATAGCTCTACCACGTACAGAATATTCTGAAAAGATTAAAAATACTTTTCGAGTTTGAAAATAATGCAATGTAAGTATATCAAATCATTCACATGCCAAGTCCGTACCAAAACGATAATAGTTCACTATCCAAATAAGTTCCCCGCAGTGTAACGCTAAATAGACATGATCGTAATGAACCTTTCCGTAAACCATCAGTACCCTAAACTATCCTGAGAGTTGCCCGCGAACCAACGGTACCACGAATACTAAAAACTATATAAGGCTGTGAGAATGTATGAATATTGTGAACGAGAGGTACAATAATTACCAACTAAAAATAAGTGAAAGTGGTCTGTCAGGATCGGTCTCTTGGAGATCTATCCTTACTGCCTACCCCACAAACTAAAAGTAAAGTAGTGATGCATAAGCCGTTTTTGTCAAAATATTCCTTACAATTTGCATTAACCACAGCAATGATGTTAATGAAATTTTTACTAATCCAAGTGCATTTTATAAGTCTGTCGGCAGTTACTCGTTATAATCGTTAACTTGCTAAGCCTACTTAGCTTCTAAATATAACATATAACGATATTACTTAGCGTTATACAAAACCTCGAAGTAAAATTTCAGACATAATTAGGTCGCGGGTACACTAATTGAATAATGATCTTCTGCAAGAAATTAGGCTAATTGCGATTACCATGTCTCTCAAAACATTATTTCCGAATTTACATTTGAACTTTATTAGCATGATATTGTTGCCATATATTACAGCCTATAAAAGTCTACTCCTAAACATCCTTGACTTATATATAACTAAACATAGGTCTTTCCTTAGATTGCCTCATAAGGAGGATATTTATCAGAGTTCCCACGCTTGGCAAGCAGGTTGCCAACCGCAGTGTTGTTTTTTTATTTTCTAGTTATAATTAGGAAGACGCTCGCGCCCATTTTCCGGTTTGTTTTCTTTTGTCACCTTTTATGACACCCACAAAACGATATGAGTAGTGGATATTCTAGCGTCACCCCTACACGGTCGTGTAATAGTAGCATTATTTACCCGTACGGTAGTACCGTTGTAAGTGTTTTAAATCTTTCGTTTTATTTTTGAAATTCATCATACATATCATCATTGGACTCCTCAGGTTCTTCCTTCTTTTTTCCTTCCTTGACGGGTTCTCATGCCGAGGCTGCACTTGAAGCAGCAGCGGGTGCACCACCAACCATAGGCGTAGCTCCAACTCTATATTCGATGTTTTTGACAAGGTCGAGCATGTTCACAAGTTGCAAAGCCTTTGCGAATAGCCAGGCCAAGTTTTCACTAGTAACGGCGACATCATCATCAATCAAAATTCGTGTAGGAATATCAACCAAATACATTTTTACTTTTAAAGATACCATATTAAATAAAGACTTCTTAAATTTACGCGAACACTATAAAACATTTATACTGATTATTATTTAGACAACACAATAAAACTATTTATACTGATTTTATCGTGTTTATTTAATTTTTTTTTAATTTCTGACATTTCCAGTGCTTTTCAGTACACAGTGGTCAAGGGGGGATGAGATGTTCGGCATCCCAATGTCATAGTTAGTCCGGCTACCTTCAGTTTTTGAATATTAACTTTTGCTACGATTTACGGAGAACGAGCTTACAGTATCTTGAAGTCTTGCAGTAGAATACTTGGACTTGGATTTAATTTTATTAATTATGGGATCCAAAGCATCTTCTCTATTGATATAAGGGTTTTTTTTTTAATTTCAGTAGCCTCGCGAATCATCTTCGGAAGGAATCCGCGATCTTCTGCGAGGATTTGTGGTCTATCAAATCTGATATAATGGTTGGGACGATCTTGAACATGTTTATATACCTCAGACTTCCCGGAGCGTCGGTGCGACATATCAGTGTGTTCTTTCACGCGAGTTTTTATGGATTTTTTTTGTTCTATGTAACCACATTTACAGTCAAGCTTGTATACTCCTGCATCTTGTAGAGATATTCTTTATACTTGACGGATAATTAGAGCTGACTAATCTTCTTCGAAGGCTTGTAATTAGAAGCCGGGCCGACTTCACTGTGACGGAAGTTTGATACCCGAAGCTCGTTGTTATGCAAAACTTGCTTGATGTGCTGGAGCTCGGCGGCCGGTTGTATATTGTCAAAGTTGCCTATAACTAGCCTTTCATAATTTAAAATGCTCTATTAGTCAGATTAAATCATAAATAAATGATCAGTAAATTGCAATTAGTTACTATATAATAAATATCGGCATTATTAAAACACATTTAAACATGAAGCATAATTTGTGTTTGCATGCCCAAACTAATTAATTAATGGTAGCACCAAGCTTTATTTACGAACTAAATTTTCGCAAATTCAAACAGAAAATAATTAAATTGTTATTGACAAACAAGTTCGTGAAATATGCTACTATACTTCCACTACCAAAAAATTTACGCATCAATGCAAGCAGTAATTATGATAAATATTTATCTTGTTTCAAATTATTTATTTAGGTTGTAACGTTTTCTGCCTAGGAGTTTGTCTGAACCTATTTCTCCCGTCTAATATCACTGCTGTGTTCTGGTTGCAAGGCTATTGAAAGTATCCAATCTTAGTCCTCGGAGGTGACAAAGACTGTTGGAATAAAGAGGTGAATAAAACTACAGTAGCCGTTTTTCACTTCAGTTTTATACAAAAAAAAAAAACACATCTCATCATAATGATTTCTTATATTTACGCGAACACTACACATTGAAATAATACTAATTTTTACGGAATTTATCGCGTATATTTAACTTTTTTACCCGACGTTTCGAGAGCTTTACAGCACCCATGGTCACGGGAAGGACTGAGATGTTCAACGTCCAGCTGTCATAGTTAACCGCGGTTACCATAGATAAAAATTTAACTTTTGTTCCGATCTACACAGTATGAACTTATGGTATCATGGAGTCATGGAGTCTTGCAGTTGTATGCTTGGGTTGGGATTTAATTTTATTTATTATAGGATCCCAAGCAGATGGTAGCACCCAGCCATCTTCTCTATTGAAATTAGGATGTTTTTTGATTTCAATAGCCTCGCGAATCATCCTTGGAAGGAATCGGTGTTCTTTAGCGAGGATTTGTGGTCTATCAAATCTGATGTAGTGACGGGGGCGATCCTGTACATGTTCACAGACTGCAGACTTCCCGGAGCGTCGATTCTTCACATCAGCTATATGTTCTTTGACGCGGGTTTTAATTGATCTTTTAGTTTGTCCTATGTAGGAGAGACCACATTCACAATCAAGCTTGTACACTCCTGCATCTTGCAGAGGGACGTTACACTTGACTGATGGTAAAAACTGACCAATCTTCTTCGGCGGCTTGAAGTATGTTTTGATGGAAGCGCGCTTCAAGATGTAGCCAATCTTGTCAGTGACTCCTCTAACATACGGCAGTACAGCAGGTACACGCTCGACTGTGGCCGGCTTCACTCGTTCTCTGTGACGTAGGCGCGGGACCCGAAGCTTGTTGTCATGCAAAACTTGTTTGACATGTTGGAGCTCGGCAGCCAGGTGTTTACTGTCACAGATCCCTCGTGCTCTCTGAAACAAAGATTTACCCACGGTAGCTAACTGTGAAGGATGGTGGTGAGAATCACCGTTTAAATATCTATCTGTATGGGTCTTTTTTCTATACACAGTATGGCTCAAGGTGTTATCAGGATTCCGAATTACTAACACATCTAGAAAAGCTAAGGAATTGTTTGCCTCTAACTCCATTGTGAACTGAATTTTAGTATTTATAGAGTTAAGATGGTCTAAAAATGCAGTTACTTTATCTAAAGGTAGAATTGTGAAAGTGTCGTCTACGTACCGCTTGTAGAATCTTGGATTTATGGGAGAAGTAAGCAGGGCTTTCTCCTCAAAGTCTTCCATGAATATGTCGGCGACAATGGGAGATACAGGTGAGCCCATCGCCACACCATCTACTTGCTTGTAGAACTCCTCCTTCCACAATAGGTAGCCAGATGTAAGGCAGTGTCTGAGTAATACTGCATATTCTACGGGCATGTTGTTTTCTTCCAGCCTCCTAGTTACAATTGAGATGCAGTCTTCAACAGGTAAGCTTGTAAACAATGACTGCACATCAAAACTGACCATAGTTTCATTGTCTGCCAGACGTAGGTCTTTAATCTCGCTGACAAAATGGTAGGAATCCTTTATGTGTGCTCTTGTATGTCCCCTGAGCGGTGAGAGTATTTTCGCTAAGTGTTGAGCCAATCTGTAAGTTGGTGAATCGATTTGGCTCACTATGGGGCGTAATGGAGCATTGGGCTTGTGTATTTTTGGTAACCCATAAAACTTTGGTGATTTGGCGCAAGTAGGTTTTATCCATTTTACGTCCAGATTTAATTTTTCGGAGTGTTTCTTTATGAGGTCACTAGTTGTTTTTAGTGTGCTGTTTGTTGGGTCGTTTTTAACCTTTTTTATAAGTACTTACATCCGACAAAAGTTCTTGTATTTTAGAATTATAATCTGACGTATCCATGAACACCGTGGCGTTTCCCTTATCTGCGCGGAGAATCGTAAGTTCTGGTTTATTGCGTAGGTTCTTTAACGCTATAAATTCGTCTCTGGGAAGATTCGGTTTAGGCACTGAACATCGACGTAACATAGACGAAATGTCTTGACGTATCGCCTCCAAATCTTCTTTCCGCATATTGTTTTTAAATAAACAGTCCTCGACACTACAGATAATTTCTTCGTACGGTAATCTGCTTGGAGTTATAGCGTAATTTAGTCCTTTGGATAACACCTTTATTGTTGCATCATCCAGTGTTTGTTTTGACAGATTATAGAACGCGATTAATCTATGATCTGTGTTTGTCAATGGTTGCTTTTGGTTCTGGCATTGATTCGGATGTTTGACATTTGATTTGGCCGTTAATTTTTGATATTTTTCTATATGTTTGTTTTTGCATTCGTTATATTTACTAATTTCGCGTTTATTTAATGTTTCCATGCAAAAATTATAATCAAACGTCGTTAAAAATTTCTTTAATTCACTGGATGATATGTCTATGGATTTATTTATGTCATATAGATCGGAGCGTTTTTGTTGGATTACCGCCCGTAACAACTTTTTACTTGCCTGATTTAAGATCTTAGCGCTTCCTCGAATGTCCTTTTTGGTGGATATTTTGACACAGGTAGGAATGAGATTATGATCTCGGCATCTCTTCAAGAAATTTAAGGCTGTTAGATATCTTGCGCGCTTAGTCTTTAGATCTTCTAATCGGCGTATTTTATTTGCAATTACCAGTCCGTACTGGTTTACATAATGATTTCTTATATTTACGCGAACACTACACATTGAAATAATACTAATTTTTACGGAATTTATCGCGTATATTTAACTTTTTTACCCGACGTTTCGAGAGCTTTACAGCACCCATGGTCACGGGAAGGACTGAGATGTTCACGTCCAGCTGTCATAGTTAACCGCGGTTACCATAGATAAAAATTTAACTTTTGTTCCGATCTACACAGTATGAACACACACACATTTTGTCAGCGAGATTAAAGACCTACGTCTGGCAGACAATGAAACTATGGTCAGTTTTGATGTGCAGTCATTGTTTACATGCTTACCTGTTGAAGACTGCATCTCAATTGTAACTAGAAGGCTGGAAGAAAACAACATGCCCGTAGAATATGCAGTATTACTCAGACACTGCCTTACATCTGGCTACCTATTGTGGAAGGAGGAGTTCTACAAGCAAGTAGATGGTGTGGCGATGGGCTCACCTGTATCTCCCATTGTCGCCGACATATTCATGGAAGACTTTGAGGAGAAAGCCCTGCTTACTTCTCCCATAAATCCAAGATTCTACAAGCGGTACGTAGACGACACTTTCACAATTCTACCTTTAGATAAAGTAACTGCATTTTTAGACCATCTTAACTCTATAAATACTAAAATTCAGTTCACAATGGAGTTAGAGGCAAACAATTCCTTAGCTTTTCTAGATGTGTTAGTAATTCGGAATCCTGATAACACCTTGAGCCATACTGTGTATAGAAAAAAGACCCATACAGATAGATATTTAAACGGTGATTCTCACCACCATCCTTCACAGTTAGCTACCGTGGGTAAATCTTTGTTTCAGAGAGCACGAGGGATCTGTGACAGTAAAAACCTGGCTGCCGAGCTCCAACATGTCAAGCAAGTTTTGCATGACAACAAGCTTCGGGTCCCGCGCCTACGTCACAGAGAACGAGTGAAGCCGGCCACAGTCGAGCGTGTACCTGCTGTACTGCCGTATGTTAGAGGAGTCACTGACAAGATTGGCTACATCTTGAAGCGCGCTTCCATCAAAACATAC